CCCCAAAACCCCAAAACCCCAAAACCCCAAAACCCCAAAACCCCTTTACTCTCTTCAGATTGAAGGAATAAAATTTAAATCGGCAGATAGGTTATTTAGGAAAATAAATTTAAATATTATTATAAATAAAAAGGAGCCTGCTTATTTAATGGAGAAGAATCCTTTAAGTTCTATTTTGGTAAGGGTTTTGGAGTGATGGTTTAGTACTATGATGTTGAGCGTCTGTGTACAGAATGTGTTGAGAGGTAAGACTTTGGGAAGAAGGGGTGGGAGGATTGGCCTGGGAGTTAGGTTGAAATGAACAAGGTTCCTGGGAGGAGCCAAATAAAGGATCCTTCCCAAGCTAATCCTGTGCTGTCTTATGAGAGGTTTGAACTCTAACAGTTCTGATAAACAAGTTCTGACAGCTTTGATGGGCATTTTAGTTATTTTAAACCAACAGGATTCTTTCATTTTTCTGACACTTGTTGTTTTTGAAATTTGTGAAGCGGCTTATCTATTGATTATTTAATGGTAATGGACTTGCTTAGCTCAACAAATATCAAATTACTACTTATTAGCTTATTTCTAGAATTTAGGGCTTAGCATAACTTAAGTAAATTCATTCTTTGGGTTAAGAACTTGTATCCAAATTTTAATTTTTCCTAAATCTTCCAAATAATCGAACCCAAGCTAGAGATCCTAGGAAATTTTCCTTGATATACTCTCTAAATTCTTTATGTTTCTAGAACTCTTTATCTTTGAGCCTATCTAAACTCCATATAGAAATTTTCAGGGAGACTCTAATACAGTCAATGCTGTTGTGAGTCAAGCCACTTATCAAGTTGTCTGGAGTTCATTCGTCAAGTAAGTTGTTGCTTCCTAATTTCTAGGTGGTGCCAGAGCCAGATCGAGCTTGGAAGAGCAATCAATATCAATAATTTTGGTACGTATCCAAATTTTCCTTTTTCTAAATTTGAATTTGAATAGGGTCCATTGGATTCTCTATGAAAAACAACAAGATCATCGAAGTTGAACTATCAGAATCTTTCATGAGCCAATACGGACTGATGTGGAATGAAGCTATGGAAGAAGGAAAGACTAGAGATGCAGCTTCTAAGCCTAGTGCTAAGCCTAACTATAACGCTATGGCTAAAATCTCAGGGAAAGATAAACAGACAGTCCAAGTATCGCTAAACAACATGTTCCAGTTGATTGGAGAACTTCTTTCTGAGAGTGGAAATATTGAAGTCAACCTTGGAGCATTAGGAAAATTCAGCTCTATCAATAGATCTCTTATCTATTCATCTATGAATCCTCATAAGCCATCAGCCTTGCATGGATATCAGACCGTTAAAGGTTTGATGGATCTTGGACATGAAAATACTTTCCCAAAGGGAAAACCAGGAAAACTAGATCCACTCGGCAATCCTTCAAACGGAAGTGGATATGAAGAAAGCAAAGGGTATAGCCAAGAACTAGGTGGGCAATTCAGTGGCTCTTTTAAGAGCAAAACACTTGGAATTACATCATCGCCAACAAGAAGATTCAAAAAGCCAAGAGGAGATGGAAAGATCATTAATACTCTCCTTAGTGCTGGAGATAACCCAGAAGCAAAGGATCATGAGTTCTCTATGATGGCTTCTGATGCTGCTTCATTGATGTCTCATAACTTTAGCAAGCCAGGAAGAGCTATGTCTAGATTCCCGCCAGTAATCGACTCGTTTAGTAGAACTTTGGCTGCTCCTATTTCTTCACTGAGACACTACCTTTCTGTGAGCCACAGAATTGGAACTAACTTCACACCTTCCTCGAAGGGATACTACATCGATATTGATCACAGAAGTATCAAATACAAGAATATTTTCGGGAAATCAAAGCTATTCCTCAGCTCTGACAAAGAAATCATTGAGCCTGCTGACGAACTTGAAGAATATGAGTCTTTGATGAAGCCAGATTCACAAGACGAAGAAAGAATCATTGCTAGGAAGAACTCTTACATCAGATATATGCAATATATTGATGAAGAAATTCCAGTGGATGTAATTGCTCCCATCAGAGTGTACTGGATCAACCACATTTTGGAGCTTATCCCTGCTGATCTTCACGCTATTGACCCTTCAAGAGTGACTTCTTTAGTTGATGAAATGCTCAAAGAAATGAATGAGAACTACTATAATGCTGTAAAGAAGAGCATCCTTGATTACATCCTTAAAGATGAAAATGAAATGAAGAGACTTGAAATCTACCAAGTACTCAACTGCCCAATTGATTGGGGAGACAACTATTACACTGGAATTGAGCCAGAAGAAGAATGGAAACAGAATGTAATGATGGCTAGGATGCTCATGAGTGAAAATCTCTGCATTTGCAGCCAAGCTACACTTAGCTTGATGAGTCTCTGGCAAGACTACGAGAACCTTCTGTTTGTAAGCTTACCAGGCCCAAGAAAAGAGCCAGTCAGTCTTGAAACCTTCACTAAGGCCCAACATGATAAAGCCATTGATTTAAAGACTAAACTTTCTTCAGAGTGGAATAAGAAGGTTGTTGATATTCTTAGAAAAGAACTTGAGAGTATGGATGGAGAACAGACAAAGACTTTCTTTGAGTCTGTAGGAACTCTCATGGCAAACCAAGTCAGAGATATTGTCACTAAGAGTATCGACTCTTATGTAGATTTCTTTGAGAGATTCAGGAAAGGTACTTATCCAACTCCAAAAGAGATCATCAAGAGAGAATATGACCCAGATACTCCATTTGAAGATAATTTCTTGACACTCAGATTAGTGATCAGTGGTCAGAACATTTCCTTTGAGAACAGACTTCATGATGTTCAGAAGGATCTCACCAACATTGTTGAGCAAATTGTGAATCAGTCTCAGAACTTGCCAAGACCAGAGAACACAATCTCAAAGGCTGAAAAGATGCACCTGTGGGCTGTTCAAAAAGATGATGAGATTGTCAAGATTGCTAAGAGCAAGATTGAAGACATTATTGAACAAAACATTAACGTAGTCGAGCAATGCTACAGTATTTATGATGAATTTATTTTCATCCTCAAGGAAGATGCTAGACTTGAAGACTTCGCCTCCAAGAACCAAGACAAGGATGCCTTCATTGAAGAGATTAATAAGTACAAAGCTACTATTGAAAGAATTAAGGAAGAATTACCATTTGAAATCAGAATGAACATGTTCTTGATTGACTGTAATGATCTGAAGAATGAGCTGATCAGCAGATGTGAAGACTTAATCAATAAAACTCTTGATCATATCTCCAAACATATTATTCTCACAAGTAACAACATCCAGAACACTTGCAGGGCTAAAAATACCACCTTCCAGGAAGACATTAAGACTCCAGCAAAACTTGTAGAGATCGAAAGAGAATTTGAGAAATACAAAGATATTGAGAAACATGAGATTACAAATGATTACATGAAGGTTGTAGAATGGCTCATGACTCTTAACGAGTATCCATCTTACAAAGCTTCTGAGGATGAAATCAAACCAGTTGTTGAAGCATATTCTAGTACCAGAGATATTGAGAGAAATATTGACAAATGGGAAAATGATCTAAAAGACACCCGTCTTAAACTAGAACAAGAAGTCAAGCAGCAGAGAATCAAATTTATTGAGAATCTTGAAGAAATAAAGAAGGATATTGAAGATTTCAAGGAATATAGAGAATTCGATCAAGTTGAAACTTATACAGAAAAGATTGAGGTTCTGAATAACAGACTCGCATTTTGTGAAACTGAAAGACTTGATATCAACAAGCAAGAAGAAACTCTCGAATTTGAGATCACAGAATTCGACCAAGTTACTAAACTTCAAACTCAACTGAAACCATTCGATTCCCTCTGGAACTTAGTAGCTGAGAGGCAGAAATAATATTTTCGATGACTGGAGAAAGAATCCCTTTGCTGGACTCAACCCAGAAGAAGTCTCCAAGGATCATAAGAGAATGCTCCAGCTGTCTAATGGCTTGAAGAATAGCTTTGAGAAGGAGCATCTAGACAACCCTAAAGCTGTTGCTACAAGTGTTCATACGACTCTGATGGAGTTCCGAAAGTTCCTTCCAATCATTGGTGCTATCTGCACAGAAGGACTTAAGGATAGGCACTGGAACAAGATTCATGAACTGTTGGGCAACGTCAGCAAGAACAAAGACAACATCAACTACAATACCGTCAACTTTGCTCTGACATCCAACCCAGGAGCCGAGAAAGAAATTGTGGATGCTCTTGAAGAAGCCGCTGACACAGCTTCCAAAGAATACAAGAACGAGACCATGATGAGGTCGATGAAAGCAGACTGGCAAGAAGTCAACTACCTCTGCAAGAAATGGAAACACTCCTTCATCTTGGAGGGAGAAGCCGTTGAAGAAATCCAGACTTTCCTTGACGACCATATCGTGAAGACGCAGACGATGAAAGGGTCTCCATACGCTAAGTTTATGCTCCCAGAGATCCTCGAGTGGGAGAAGAAGCTGCTCAACTCTCAAGATAACTTGGAGGTGTGGCTCAAAGTTCAAAGCATCTGGCTGTATCTGGCTCCTGTGTTCAGTTCTGAAGATATCATGAAGCAGATGCCTGTCGAAGGTAGGAACTTCAAAGAAGTTGACAGAGCCTGGAAGAACCTCATGGTCAGGATCAACGAAAATCCAGCTGCGCTAACAGTAATGGACATTGAAGAGCTTGGAGAAATCTTAAACTGAGCAAATGCGAAGCTTGAGCAAGTCCAGAAAGGTCTGAATGAGTACCTTGAATCGAAGAGAAAGTTGTTCCCAAGATTCTTCTTCCTCTCAAACGATGAGTTGTTGGAAATTCTTTCAGAAACCAAGGAGCCTCTCAAGGTGCAGCCCCACTTGAAGAAATGTTTTGAAGGTATTGCGTCTCTTGAGTTTGATGAAGAGAAAAAGATTCACGGGATGTACTCAAGCGAGAAGGAACATGTCCCATTCAAAAACATCATCGACCCAATTGCGGCAAGAGGATGTGTTGAGCAATGGCTTTCTGAGGTTGAAGAGACCATGATTAAGTCAGTCAAAGAAGTTTGTGAAAACTCAGTCCACGACTATCCTCAAAAGCCAAGGGACAAATGGATCCTAAACTGGCAAGGCCAGGCTGTCTTGTCAGGATCAATGATTTACTGGACAGAAGAGTCTGAAGCTGCGATGAACAATGCCGGAGTCCAAGGACTGCAGGATTACCTCAAGACTTTGACAGATCAGCTTCACGATACTGTTGCAGTTGTCAGGACAGAAATAGATAAACTACAAAGATGCACTCTGGAAGCTCTGATTGTACTGGATGTGCACAACAAGGCTGTTATCGAGGAAGACCTGATTGAGAACAACATTAACGATCCGAATGAATTTTCCTGGCTTGCTCAGCTTCGGTACTACTGGATGGACAATGACTGCTGGGTCAAGATCACCAATGCTGTTCTTGAATACAATTATGAATATCTAGGAAACTCACCAAGACTGGTTATTACTCCCCTCACAGATAGGTGCTACAGAACATTATGAGGAGCAATCCACTTGAACTACGGAGGTGCCCCAGAAGGACCAGCCGGAACAGGAAAAACAGAGACTGTTAAAGATTTATCAAAAGCCCTGGCTAGACAGTGCGTGGTCTTCAACTGCTCGGATGGTCTTGATTACCTCCAAATGGGAAAATTCTTCAAAGGCCTTGCTTCTTGCGGAGCATGGAGTTGCTTCGATGAGTTCAACAGAATTGAGCTGGAAGTGCTGTCAGTTATTGCTCAGCAACTGCAAGCCATTCAGAAAGCTGTGGACCTCCGCAAAGAGAAGTTCGACTTCGAAGGATCAATTATCCCACTGAAGTTCACCTGTAACTGCTTTATTACCATGAACCCAGGTTATGCCGGACGAGCAGAATTGCCAGACAATTTAAAGGCTTTGTTCAGAACAGTGGCAATGATGGTCCCTGATTATGCTCTGATTGCAGAAATTGTTTTGTATTCTTTCGGTTTCACTGAAGCCAAGCCTCTGTCAGGAAAAATTGTAACAACCTATAAGCTATGCTCGGAGCAGTTGTCAAGTCAAAAGCATTATGATTACGGAATGAGAGCTGTAAAGTCAGTCCTGACTGCAGCAGGTCAATTGAAGCGAAAGTACATGGATGAGAATGAGAGTATTCTTCTGCTCAGAGCTATCAATGATGTCAATCTAGCTAAGTTCCTTGTTTACGATGTGCCTCTGTTCAAAGGTATCACAAGTGATCTGTTTCCAGGAATTGAACTGCCAACCCCAGATTATGGGCATCTGACCACTGCTATTAAAGAGCAATGTGAGAAGAAAAACTTACAAGCCATTGATTACTTTATGACCAAGGTTACACAGCTTTATGAGACTATTTGTGTCAGACATGGGCTCATGATTGTTGGGCGGCCATTCTCAGGAAAATCATCAGCCATTAATGTTCTGGCTGATGCTCTTACTTCTCTGAACCAGCAAGGCTTGATGGATGAATACAAGACAATCACTTCCGTATTGAATCCAAAAAGTGTCAGTATGGGCCAGCTCTATGGTAACTTCGATGAGATTTCTCATGACTGGAGTGATGGCGTCCTGGCGGTTCTGTACAGAAACTTTGCCAACAATCCTGACGCCGAGATCAGAAAGTGGCTCGTCTTTGATGGTCCTGTCGATGCGATCTGGATCGAAAACATGAACACTGTCCTTGATGACAACAGGAAATTGTGTTTGATGAGTGGCGAAATTATTCAGATGAGCCCAAACATGAACTTGATATTCGAGCCAATGGATTTGGACGTTGCTTCCCCAGCTACTGTATCAAGATGTGGAATGATCTTCCTCGAGCCAGAACTCATGGGATGGGAGCCAATTTTCAGATCATGGCTACAAGAATTGCCTGAAGCATTCGGAGAAGAAGTCATCAAAGCTATTGAAGATCTAGTAAACTGGTTCATTCCTCCACTCATAGAATTTGTCAGATACAAAGCTCATGAAACTACTCCCACACAAGACCAGAATTTGGTCAGAAGTTGCCTCAGAATTCTCAGAGTGCTCATCAAGAGCCTCGAAGATGACAAGAGCAAGCTCGAGCTTCCAGCCAAGGAAATTATAACTATCATTGACGGTGCATTCATGTTCTCAATTACCTGGTCAGTCTGTGCTTCAGTCACAACCGAATATCGTAAGGCATGCAATGACTGTGTCAAGAAGCTACTCTTGGGTGACCTCGACACAGGGGTCAAACCACTTAAGAAAATAGTATTCCCAGATAGAGGAACAATTTATGACCACATTTACTTACCTTCTGAGAACAAGTGGAAGAACTGGAATGAACTGATTGATAAAGACCAGAAGATCCCTAGAGATGCATCTCCTCAAGTTGTCATCATAACCACTTCTGATAAGATGAAGTACAGTTGGCTCCTCGAAACCTTTGTTAAGAACCGGATCCCAACTCTGTTCGTTGGCCCGACAGGAACTGGAAAGTCTATCTATATCCAAAATGTGCTCCAGAATGTTCTCGATAAAGACAAGTTTACTACGATCGAAGTCGGATTCTCAGCTCAGACTTCAGCCGTCCAGACTCAAGGCATCATTGATGGAAAGCTAGACAAAAGAAGAAAGGACCACTTCGGCCCGAGGTTCGGAATGGAATGTGTTATTCATGTTGACGATCTGAACATGCCAAAGAAAGAATTCTATGGGGCTCAGCCACCTGTTGAACTCCTCAGACAATTCCTCGATCAAGGAGGATGGTTCGACCTTGCTGATAATAAGCACCCTTTTAGAAATATCATTGACACTATGCTAGTCTGTTCAATGGGACCCCCAGGAGGAGGTAAGACTTTCATCACTCCGAGAATGCAGAGACATTTCAACATTGTCGCCTTTACTGATGTTGATGACCACGTTCTAACTTATATTTTCAAGACAATCTTGGCTTGGTGGTTCGACTCTAGAGGATTCAGCCAAGATGTGGCCAGAATGGACGAAAAAATTGTTGCTGGAACTATGAAGATCTACACTAATATCCAAGCAGACCTAAAGCCCACCCCTGCGAAGTCACATTACACCTTCAACTTGAGAGATATCTCCAAAGTGATCAATGGAATCTGTATGGTGGAGAAAGCCAAATGCACCACTGTGGACACAGTGATCAGACTCTGGGCTCACGAGACCATGAGAGTCTTCGGAGACAGACTCATCAACGATGACGACAGAATGTGGATGCTCGAAGCAGTGAAGGACACAGTCAGGGCTCCTTTCTCAGCTAGTTTTGACACCACTTTCAGACATCTCGATATTGATGGAGATGGAAAAGTAGACAAGCTAGACGAAATCAGAGGTCTGCTGTTTGGAGACCTCATGGTTGGATACGGAATCCAAGAAAGACCATATGAAGAAATCCTTGATATCGAAGCCTGCATTGCCTCAAGCAATGATGCTCTGGACCAGTATAACTTGATGACCGACAAGCCGATGAACTTAGTGCTATTCAGGTTTGCTGTTGAGCATCTGATAAGAATTTCAAGAATCCTGAAGCAGCCAGGCTCTCATGCCTTACTTGTTGGTGTTGGAGGTTCTGGAAGACAATCTCTGACCAGACTCGCATCAAAGATCTCTGGCTTCCAAGTTCAGCAAATCGAGATCAAGAAGCAATATGGAATGAACGAATGGAGAGAAAACATCAAAGAAATCCTCAGAGATTGTGGAGGAAAAGGGGAGATAACCACATTCCTGTTTACTGATTCACAAATTAAAGAAGAAGGGTTCCTCGAAGATATTAATAATATCTTGAATACTGGAGAAGTTCCGAACCTGTTTCCATCAGATGAAAAGGCAGACGTCTGTGAATTGGTCAGGCCAGCTGCTAAAGCTGAAAACAGAGCTCCTGATGGAACTCCAGCTCAGCTGTTCTCATTCTTCGTTGAGAAATGTAGAAAGAATTTGCACATTGTGTTGTGTTTCTCTCCTATCGGAGAAGCTTTAAGAAACAGAATCAGAAACTTCCCATCACTGGTAAACTGTACGACCATCGATTGGTTCTCTGAGTGGCCGCCAGATGCTTTGGATTCAGTGGCTAAGAAGTTCCTGTCGGAGATCGAGATGGACCCTTCGACCAGGGATCAGTGCGCGCTCATGGTGAAATATTTCCATGAGTCAACTGTGAGATCATCGGTGACATTCTTGAACAACTTGAAGAGACATTACTATGTGACTCCGACCTCGTACCTCGAAATGATTTATACCTTCCAAGAGCTGCTGAAGAGCAAGAGGCAGGAGATCCTTGGACTCAAAGAGAGATACGAGAACGGATTCGATTGTCTGATCAAGACCGGAGGAGAAGTCAGTGAAATGCAGAAATACCTGGAGGAGCTCAAGCCCCAGCTTATTGCAACTTCCGAGGAGACTGACCAGAAAATGATCACTGTCACCAAAGAGAAAGGGGAGGCTGACAAAATTGCTGAGAAGGTCGGAGTCGAAGAAGCTGAAGCCCAGAAAATTGCAGCCGAAGTGTCAGCTATTAAGGATGATTGCGAAACCGAGTTGAATAAAGCCATGCCAGTTCTCCAGCAAGCTGAGAAAGCACTGAAGTGTATTACTAACCAGGATATTAGTTATGCTAAGAAACTCCCTGAGCCACCTGCAGATGTAAGAATGGTGCTCGAAGCTGTATGTATCCTCAACAAGAGAGCCCCAAAGAAAACCTTGGATCCTAACACTCAGAAGCCTGTGTATGATTACTGGGATACCTCCAAGAAAATGATGAATGAGATTGGTTTCCTCAGAAGTCTGGTTGATTACGAAAAAGAGAAGATCGAAGAAAAGACTATCAATGCACTCCAGAAGTATATTAAGAATCCGAAGTTTAACAGAGAGCATCTCTCTGGAGTATCAGCGATTGCTGCCAACCTTGCTGACTGGGTCATCGCAATGAATGAGTTCTATAATGTCAACCTGATTGTGAAGCCAAAGCAGGCTGCCCTAGCAAAGGCTACCAAAGAAAATGACATCGTCAAAGCAGAACTCGCTGTTAAGCAAAGAGAGCTCAAGGAAGTTATGGATAAAGTCCAGCTCCTCGAAGATGACCTCAACCTTACTAAGCAAAAGAAGGAAGATCTTGAGAACCAAGTCGAAGACTGTACTCAGAAATTAGACAGAGCTCAGAAGCTGATCGGAGGGCTTGGAGGAGAGAAAAAGAGATGGTCCGAAACTGCAGCCAACCTGAAGGTAGTTTATACTAATTTGACTGGTGATGTGCTTGTATCTTCAGGGATGATTGCATATCTTGGAGCATTCACCAGCGCTTACAGAAGCGAACTCACAACTGACTGGGTTGCTAATTGCTTACAGAGAGAAATTCCTTCATCTGGAAAATTTAACATCAACTCTGTGTTAGGAGATCCCGCTGCCGTCAGAAATTGGACAATTTTCGGACTCCCTTCAGATCAATTCTCGGTTGAAAATGGTATTATTACGTCAAAAGCAAGGAGATGGCCTCTATACATCGATCCTCAGGGTCAGGCAAACAAATGGATTATTAACATGGAAAGGGAAAGAGAAATCAAGATCATTAAATTCACAGATTCTGACTATATGAGAACTCTTGAAACATATATTCAATTCGGAAAACCGGTTTTGCTTGAAAATGTCGGAGAAGAACTTGATCCATCAATTGAGCCGCTGCTTCAGAAGCAGATTTTCAAGAAAGGATCGACATGGAACATTAGGTTTGGGGATAGTACGATTGAGTATTCACCCGATTTCAAATTCTACATTACAACAAAACTTAGAAATCCTCATTACCTGCCCGAAACCTCAACAAAGGTGACTCTGCTAAACTTCATGATCACCTACGAAGGTCTGAGCGACCAGCTTCTCGGAATCCTGGTGGCCAAGGAAAAGCCTGACCTTGAAATGGAGAAAGAAAAACTTGTTATCAATGGCGCCAAAAACAAAGAACAGTTAGAAGAGATTGAAAACTCCATCCTACGAACTCTCCAGAACTCAGAGAACATCTTGGCTGACTCTAAAGGAGTCAAGGTCTTGTCTGAAGCCAAGGTTCTTTCTGATAAAATCACCAAAGAGCAAGCCGAGGCTGAAATCACTGAGAAATCTATCGATGAAGCCAGGCTCGAGTATGAGCCAGTAGCTCTGAGGACTTCTGGACTGTTCTTCTGTATCTCGGATCTCGCCAACATTGATCCGATGTACCAGTACTCCCTTGCATTCTTTATCTTCTTGTTCACTTCAGCCATTCAGAATTCTGAGCAGAGTGATGAAATCGAGGAAAGGCTGAAGTTCCTGAACGACGAGTTCTTAATTTCTCTGTACAGAAACATTTGCAGGTCTTTGTTCGAAAAAGATAAACTCATTTTCTCATTCCTGCTCAAGGCTAAGCTTATGGAAATGGCTAAGGAGCTCGACCAAGAGGAGTGGAGATTCCTCTTAACTGGAGGTATCTCACTCGGAGAAAAGCTTCCTCCACCTCCAGCTGACTGGCTCGAACAGAGATCATGGGGAGAACTATTGAGAATGTGCAAGCTTCCAGCTTTCAAAGGATTCCAAGAAGATTTTGAAGCTAACATTGACCAATTCGCTGAACTGTATGAGTCATCTAATCCGCAAGAACTCGAGATTCCAGGGGGATGGCATGAGAAATTATCACCATTTAACAGAATGATTGTGATCAGATGCTTGAGACCAGATAAAGTCATTCCTTCTGTGTACAACTTTGTGAGAGATAACCTTGGCCAAGAATTCACTGACCCACCTCCATTTGACTTGAAGTCTATCTACAGCGACTCTACTGCTACGACACCACTAATCTTTGTGCTATCGCCAGGTTCAGATCCAATGAATTCTTTGCAAAACTTTGCTACTTTGAAGAAGAAGCAGTTGACAGCTGTCTCACTTGGACAAGGGCAAGGACCAATTGCTCAAAGACACATCAAGGAAGGAGTCGCAAATGGCCATTGGGTCGTCTTGCAGAACTGTCACTTGGCAGTCACATGGATGGGGACTCTCGAAAAGATTTGTGAAGAGCTTTCTCCTGACCCAAAGAAGACCAACAGAGAGTTTAGACTCTGGCTTACATCCTACCCATCTAAAGATTTCCCAGTGGCTGTCTTGCAGAATGGTATTAAGATGACTAATGAACCACCGAAAGGACTCAAAGCGAATCTGTTGGGATCATACAACATCGACCCAATTTCAAACAAGGACTTCTTCGAGGCTTGCAAAAAGCCAAAGGAGTGGAGGAAATTACTATTTGGACTGTGCTTCTTCCATGGAGTAATCCAGGAAAGAAGAAACTTCGGACCCCTTGGATGGAACATTCCTTACGAATTCAATGAATCTGATCTCAGAATCAGCGTAAAGCAAGTCCAAATGTTCCTGAACGAATACCCAGAGAAAGTTCCATTTGATGCCATCAAGTACTTGACAGGAGAGTGCAACTATGGAGGAAGAGTAACTGATGACAAAGATAGAAGACTTATCCTCTGCCTCTTGGACGACTACTACACTGAAAAGATATTTGACGACGACTACAAGCTGAGTCCTTCAGGCATTTTCTATGCTCCAAAGATTGGCGATTATGAGTCCTACATTGAGTATATCAGGTCACTGCCTGTTGCTCCAACACCTGAAGTATTTGGACTCCACGACAATGCAGACATTACGAAGGATAGGAACGAAACAAACCAGACATTTGAAGCTATCCTGAGCACACAGAACAGTGAAGGAGGCGGGGAATCTGTGTCGGTTGAAGGCAAAATTATTGAAGTCGCTACTAAGATCCTTTCTGACTTCCCAGAGGAATATGACATCAGAGCCGCTGAGGAGAAATATGCTGTATCTTATAAACAGTCAATGAACACTGTGCTTACACAGGAACTTCAGAGATTTAATGGATTGATAAAAATCATCAGGAGCTCTCTTTCGGATCTTAAGAAGGCTATTGCTGGAGAGATCTTGTTATCGGCAGAACTTGAAACTGCAATGCTCTCTATCTTTGATGGTAAAGTTCCAGAACTATGGATGAAGAGCTCTTTCCCATCTTTGAAACCTTTAGGAGGATATGTTATAGATACCAAAGAAAGATTAGCTTACTTCCAAAAATGGCTAGATGAAGGAATTCCTAAATTGTTCCATATTTCTAAATTCTACTTTACACAAGGATTCTTAACTGGTGCCAAACAGAATTATGCTAGAAAGACCCGAATCCCAATTGATGAGCTTGACTTTGATTTTGAAGTTATTCAAGAAGATAATCCTCCTGCTCCAGTTGATGGTATCAACATCATTGGTCTTTACTTGGAAGGATGCAGATGGGACGATGAAACTAGACTTTTAGGGGAATCAAAACCAAAAGTTCTCTTCGATAAGTGTCCAATCATCTGGTTGAATCCTAGTAGAATTAAGGAAATGAAGAACTTCCCTCACTACAGTTGTCCAGTTTACAAGACTAGTGCTAGGAGAGGTACTTTATCGACCACAGGTCACTCCACCAATTTCGTCATGCTCATCAAGCTACCTTCAGATCAGCCTGAGGCACATTGGATCAAGAGAGGTGTAGCTTTGTTGACCCAACTTGATGATTAATTTCCATTTTACTTACTTACATCAGATTCAAGATAAAAATACTATCTCGGGGTTTTGGGGTTTTGGGGTTTTGGGGTTTTGGGG